AAAACAACCACAAAAAAAACAATGTAATTGGCACTTTCATTTTTATGAAGGATGTATTAGTGAATCACTAGGAATCTAGTTACTAAATTATTCTCTAGGACAAAACACCTGGAAATAAACCTTTCTTCAAAACGACTTTACACACTGAGTGATTTCCAGACTTCTGGCAACATCTGACCCAATGATGCTAAGGACAGGATACAATAAAACTGCTGAATAAAACGGAAGAGACGCTAAAAATCTCCAAAGAACATTCAGGCATTTCCCTTACCATGCAGATTACAGAGATATTCACGCATTTTCATGACCATCTGGGACCTCAGTCGCAGATTATACTGCATTTGGAAACTACGCAAGTCTAAGTAGCGATACTGTAAGCGAAGAGCTTCTGTTTTCTAAACAAATGGAAAGATTTTTGTGTTTAAATATATTTTGAATGTTAGAAAAGTGTTATCTTTAGATACAGAGTTTGAATTTTCAAATACTTTAGCTTTGTCTTTAGTTTCCATCATCAAGCAGCTCACTGGCATGCTGCTTCCATTTGTGCATACACTCCCATACTTAATTCCTACAATGTTTTAAGTTTGTTACTAGAAGATTTTACATTTTTTACTATTCATTATTATTATTATTATTGGTGGCTGGCCAGTAAGGGGATCTGAACTCTTGATACGGGTGTTATAACACCGTGCTCTAACCAACTGAGCTAACCAGCCAGCCTATTCATTATTATTAACTTCACCCTACACTGATTGAAATTTGCCCTACTTTGCTAAACATTTATCATTCACTTAAGCCCATAGCTGAGTCTTGAAAAAAAAATTTTAAGATTTCAATGATCTTTTTAAAAAATATGCCAGAAAAAAAAAAAAAAAAAAAAAAAAAACAGCTACAATTTTATCACCTGAATGGGACAGTGACTACAAGTTTAAGGAATGCAAGGGGACGGTGGATGGAATCTCCACAGCTGTACTGGTAGAAACACAGTGAGAAGTTTCCTTATTTTCAAGGCTGTAAATCCCTGTATTCTATTTCGAGAACTTTTTAAAAAAGTCCTTTCCTCTGAAATAGCTCATTTCTTTGATACTAAAAACACGAATAGTAAGAAATATCTGTAACTTTTCTTTCTGAATGCTTCTCTGGGGAAAACTGTATATTTTCTTTTTCACAATAAGGTCAACTCTGTAATTATTCTAATTAAAGGATTAAATATTGGGAACTTAAATGTAAGACTATGTGGCCGTACAATTAATAGATAAGTGCCTTAACAGGTCAGTTTAAAAATTAGGTATACAAGTATACAAGTCTATAATTGTGACAAAGCTGAAAATTATCTGGGGTACTTACCCAGTGCTGTCTAGTTCCATCAACCCCTCAAACTTTGGCAAAGAACATCCTAAATTTTAGTAATCCTATTTAAATTTATGTGCTTGGGAAGTCAAGAGTTGCTCTAAGCACATATTTTATCTCTGTTAAAGGCTTAAACTTAAAAGGTGCAGGATCCCCTATACCATGTGGACATTTCCAAGCTAGACATAAATTTCCTTTCAAAACATTAACCAACAGAAACAAAAAAACTTGAATAATTTAACATCTTGAGTCTTAAAAATAGAATCATATTTCAATTTGTCTGAAGAAACAGTCTCGGTACTTAGGGACTACAACAGTTTAATGAACTGTCACTATTTAAGGACTGTTCATTAAAAAGTTATAAAACTAACAGAACAATTCATGATACATGTATAATAAAATGTTAAATTTTGTAGATGTTAAACTTTTTCTTTAAAAAACTCTGAAGATACTTTTCTGGTCATGAACATTATCTAGATACTCTATTCTTTTAATAACAGAGGGTGTCACCTTCACAAAGTCCTTAATTTCAAAGGGCAGCTTCTTGCAGGAATTCAGCAGCTCAGCTGTTTTAACTTTAATTTCAATCTGACCTGTTGGCATTTTCTTAGAGAGAGAGAGAAAAGAACTATTTTAAAAATCACTTATCAGGATATGTACACAAAGCACATTTGTAAAACACATGCATTTATTTACATACATAAAAATGTGCAGGTGCTTCTAATGTATAGTATGCATGATTTTAACATTGTTATGCGTATTTGTAGCTGATGTGCTAAGAAAAATGTCAGCATGTATTTGTCAACATCAACAAATGTCTTAGCACATATATTTATATAGGTGTGTGTGGTTGTGGTGACGATTCTGAAATCTGTAGGTTCATTCGTAGAACTTACTGAACTTTAGTGCCTAATGTCCCAATAGGTGCTAGTCTATGTTGCCTGAATATGTACACAGACAGTGCAAGTGCATACAGGTAAAATGTACACAAACAGTTTCTAAATACAGGCCCAGCCCATGGCTCACTTGGGAGAGTGTGGTGCTGACAACACCAAGGCCATGGGTTCGGATGCCTATATAGGGATGGCCGGTTAGCTCACCTGGGAGAGCATGGTGCTGACAACACCAAGGCCATGGGTTCGGATGCCTATATAGGGATGGCCGGTTAGCTCACCTGGGAGAACATGGTGCTGACAACACCAAGTCAAGGGTTAAGATCTCCTTACCAGTCGTCTTTTTTTTTTTTTTTAAAAAGACAGTTTCTAAATACTAACTGGATTCTCTTGTCCTGGAGGTCGGGAAATAACTGTCCCAGACACTTGCACCACAGATTCCACAGGGGCTTCACATAAAATCTTCTTCACAGAGGCAGCCGACTACAGAACAAGAGGGGAAAGATAATTCCAAGAAACAAATGAACTTACAGGAATCTTCAGTAACTGTAAGCGTATGGTTTAGAAAAATGTTAATATTCACAGCTTAACTGCCATAAATACTGAGGCTGCCATTAATGACTTTATTACAGAATTTGGTAAATTGCATTCCCACTTTGACTCTATATAATAGCAAGTAAATTAGTTAAGAGTTTTAAAAAATTTTCTTAAAGGAAAATAAGGAGAATAACTATTATTAATGCTGACAATCCCACATACTTTAAAGGCAACTGTCTTCAGAGTTAGACTTAGTGGCAGTTAAATCCAATAGCACTAATGGAGTCCAAAGTGAAAGAAATTCTCTATGGTTATCTCTGCTCATCTCTGGATCCTGATTCCTGAAAGATAGTTCATTGCTCTTTACTTATTTCAAACACTTAAGAGCTGAGTAAATCATATTTTTCTTAGGTATATAAGCATTTGTAAAAATTAACAAAGTAGAAACCAACATTGCCAGGGCCGGCCCGTGGCTCACTCGGGAGAGTGCGGTGCTGATAACACCAAAGCCGCGGGTTTGGATCCCTTATAGGGATGGCTGGTTAGCTCACTGGTT